AGAGACTGAGAGCTGTTGATGAAGAGCTTCGTGTGTGTCTTTCTTCAATTCCTGCCAGGATATCAGCTCTGTGTTCATCCAAACAGGCCCAGATTTCACACTGAGTGAGTATAAATAAATTGAAAGACTATATTGTCATTATATATATTGGATTAGGCTACAGAGTGTCATTTTTTAATATTTTTGGTTGGTGGTGTGCCTTGTGGTTTTTTTCACTGAGAAAAGTGTACCGTGGCTGAAAAAAGGTTGAAAAACACTGGTTTAAAGGGTTTTATGTTTAACACTGGAGGGAGGCAGTGTATCTGCGTGGAGCAAGGGGCAGCTCAGGGCTTGGTAATGAGGTGGCGGCCGTCCAGCTGGTGCCTCCTGCTGACATTCCTTGGCATTCTGAGCTTCCAGCAGAGTGTGGACTAATGAGGAGACTGGGAAGACACTGGACAATCTGAAGCATTCTGAAGAGAAGCCGCACAGACACAGCTCCTGGCAGCAGGTCGACTGTTTCGTCTGATGTGTGTGGGCAGCTGGATACTGGCGGCAGCGGGCCTGGCGGCGGCAGCAGCAGATGCCGGCTGTCTCCTCGCACCACAGTGAAAACCCTGAAACGTCTCAGTGTGAGATCCGACTTCTCTCACTTGTCCTACCTGTCAAACCTGTGCAGTTAGTTTCCACATGTCCACAGTGTACACATGTGTTACTAAGGCTCAGACAGGCCCAGCTTTAGCTGGTGTCAGCACCAGTATCTCCAGCTTTACAGACTGCTAATTATCAATTGAATGCTTCGTACACACTGGCTACCAATGAAATACTGGGATCCTACAGGATGGTACGCTGGAATAAAGAGGAAACAAACAACACTACATTAAACCATCAGTAGTACAGACAGGGCTGCCAGCAGGCTCAGGCCGTGTGTGACCTCAGATTATTTCACTTTGTTTTTTGTGGTTACTGTCTCCATTGTTCCTTTGCATCAGCTTTTGTGGCTTCTTGCAGTCATTTTACAGTCTTATGAATGAGTTTGCAACAGAAAGGTTTAACAGGTCCTTCAAGGGCCCCCCCCAAACCCACTGGGCCCCTGGGCCTGTGCCTGGTAGGCCTGTTTGGTGATCCATCCATGACTGTACATTTAGTTCTCACCAGCTTATTGGATGTAAGAGACATGGGCAGGTGTAAACACCTGAAGGACTGAGGA